ACTGACAGGCAGTTTCTGTGGCACTGGGGTCCCGCCTTCCTGTCTCTTAATTGTGGAAGATGAAGATGGCATTTCCTCTGCCCCTCTTTACCAGAAAAAAAAATTCACTAAAAATCAGAGGGAGGCATGTTCCGATGGCACTGCTGTAGAGACTTGATATTGATGGGTCTACAGTTAACTCTCTTTTTCTGTCAAAGTCATGAACTTCCTGCCAGTGCAAGAAACCCACAGTGGCAACTCAGTAGTGTGTGAACAGAGGGATGGAGCTGGATGGCTGTGCATCAGAAAGATCGCAGAGAGTCTGACTTCTCTTTGGTGGTAGCTACTGAGGGGGTGTCTAAGATCTCCTGCATTCTGTGATTGAGTGAAATGCACAATCTCAACTTCAAGATGTATTCACATCCATGACATTTGTGCAACTTTTTCTCTGTTGTTTTAGCAAGATAATTAGATAAAGAGATTAAGTGTTTTGTTTTGTTTGGTTTTGTTTTTTCGGGTACGCGGGCCTCTCACTGTTGCGGCCTCTCCCGTTGCGGAGCACAGGCTCCGGACATGCAGGCTCAGTGGCCATGGCTCACGGGCCCAGCCGCTCCGCGGCATGTGGGATCTTCCCGGACAGGGGCACGAACCCGTGTCCCCTGCATCAGCAGGCGGACTCTCAACCACTGCGCCACCAGGGAAGCCCAGAGGTGAAGATTTTATTACAAATTTCCATCATGCTCTTTCCCAAGTGCATATCTTGAAAGGGGTTTGAACTTGGTATTTATACAGTGTTTCAGAAAGTACTATCTTATGTCTGAAATAAGTGCTACAACTTAGATGAGACTTTGTGATTTTCAAAGATTTATGTTGAATGAAATCCAGATCAGCTATTTAGTTGTTGACACAGACTCTTACAAGGCAAGTAGCAGCTGGGATCTTTCAAAAAGGTAGGAGTCAAAATTTAAATTTGAGAAAATAACCGACCAGTGAGAGAGCTTGGAAAATAATGTGGCAAAAACATTGACCTGGAAACCTGGAGACCTCCGTTTGGTCCTGGCTTGGTATAACCATGGGCAAATCAGTTTGCCTCTTTGGGCTTTGGTTTCTTTTCATGAAAATGAGGGAACAGATAGATGCTCATGAAAATCCTTTCTAGCCCAACTTATGTGATTTTATCGTCTTAGTGACCAAACGCAGTTGTATAGATTTTAACCTGGATTTTCTTCCTTGAAGAAGCAGATGGTAGGGGGAGCATAATGTAGTCATTAATAATATTGACTTTGGAGCAAGACCACCTGGGTTTGAATCTTGGTTCCACTATTTATTAACTGTTGTGACTGTGGCAAATTACTAACCTCATGGTGCCTCAGTTTCCCCATCCACAGAATGGGGATAATAAAGTATTGACTTCACTGGGTTATTGTAAGGAGTAAATAAGTTATCATATGGAAGATTCTAGAACAGTGCCTGGAACATGATAAATGCTTTATATGGGATTGTTTTTATTGTTATAATAGCACCACTATTGATTTCTGTTGCTGCTCAGTGGTTTCTAGGAGAGATGGTAGGTTTCCTTTTTAAACAGAGAATTCCCTGAGATCTTTGGGGACTCAGGTTTAGCATAACACGTGCAGTTGCATTTATAATCCCACGAGGAGCAATGGGCCAGTTATACTGCAGCCTGAGTGTGTTCACTCTCACATGGACTGACTCTTCTTCCCACTGCTCTTCTCTTCTCACAAAGGAAGCAACCTCTTGGCAGATTTCAGGGTGGAAATGGTAGAACCCTCTCTCACCTCACTCTGAAAAGTAAGCTAGATATGGCTCTAGTGTCCTGATGCAATGATGTTTGATGATATGTGCAGTGACTAAGAACAGAGATTCTATGTTCAAGTCCCAGCTTTGTTACTTTGCTAACTTTGTTGCCTAGGGCAAGTCACTTAACCTCTCTATGCCTCTGTTTCCTGTCTCTAAAATGGGAAGAATAATAATCATCCCTACTTCATGGTGTTGCTGTGATGATTAAATGGGATAATATATGCAAAGTACCCAGAAGGTGCCTGGCATATAGTATATGTTTAGTAAATGGGAAGCATTATAATCACTGTTATGATTCTTATATCGAGTGAGGAGAATATGTGCTCTGTGGCTGATCAGTGACTCACTGAAAAAAAGTCAAGGACTACATGCTGGTAAATGAATGAATTCTAGTTCCTGATTTTATACATGAGGAAATACCCATGGACTAACTCACTTAATTTAAAATTGAGGACTTTTGACTATTTACATTTTTAAAAACTGGCCTAGTAATACAAATGGAATGGAATATCAGAGTTGGAAAAAGTGCCAATGGATGTCTAATCCAGCCACTTCACAATGCATGTATCTCCCTGAGTATCTCCCAGGTGCTTAGCTGGTCCTATACTCTAAAGGTGGAGAGAGTTTAGTTTTGGTCCCATTCGTCTCTGGGTATCTTCCATATGTGATGGTCCATCCCATGCCAGAGCACTATGCCCAGCACGTTGAGACGTGAGGAGACTGCCCATTGTAATGGCATTCTGTTGAGACAGCAATGGAATCTTTTCTAACACTTAGCTTTTCAGGTCCCACCATGGGGCTGGTCACAGCCAACAGTAGAATTGAGTGAGCTGAAAACAATATTATGCTCTTATGTTCAGGGATCAGCTGCTCCATAAAAGAGAGAAACAGATTGAATGTTGGTGCCTGTCAGGTAGAACGTTTGGAGTCGGAGAATTTAGATCTAGAAAAGATCTGGGAAATTATCCAGACATTAAAAGTGAAGGTATTTCTTCCACAAATGAAGAAACAGGGTCAGAGAGGTTAAGAGACTTGGCCACATAGACTCAGCTAGCTAATGTGAGCACAGAGAATAAGAGTTCTTTCTGCCATCTCTCTCCCATTCTCTGGCAGAGTGTTTAGAAACGTGGTCTCTAGAGACAGGCTGACTTGATTCAAATCTTGATTCTCCCCTTCCTGGCAGTACGATCTTCAGCCAGTTGTAGACTTTTCTCTGCCTCAATTTTCGTACTTGGAAAATGGGAACAGTAATAGGGGTTTTGTGTGAGATATGTGTAAGGCGCTTAGGACGGCGCCTGGCACGTGAAAAGCATTCAGTCTGTTATAATTACTAATTTCCAAAGAGCCTCAGGAAAATCAACTCTTAAGCCAGAGAATAAATGTTTTGGCCAGGCTGGTGTTTAAAGTATTTTCTCTCACTTAAAGTATTGCTTTTTAATTTCTTCTTAGCCTCTGATTCAGAAGTGATCTTCAGGACCCATCTGTGAATTAACACCCATATCCTTCCCAGGAGCCACTGTGTGACTTTTGGATGGAAAGAGTAAATCTTTAAAAAATAATTCCCCATTATTTATCGTTTCCAAATCTCACTCAGCAAATGTTTACAGAGTAGCCTGCCACGCGCCTGGCACAGAGATAATGCCTGGAGGGATGCAAAGGTGGGCAGTCTGATGTGCCCCTTACCTTCAGGGTGTGTACAGGTTGGGTGGAATGGGCGGCAATTAAATAGGTAATTCTGCCACAGAGCTGGAGGGAGCACTGACAGGACAGGACAGGGAGTGATTTCACAGCATGTGGAAGGAGCCTTAAGTCCCTAAACTTGATTTAAGGGGTCAAGGAAGGACTCTCTGGAGGAAATGATGTCTATGCTGAGACCTGAATGGTGAGCTAGATTCTGGACGAGTCTAGACGGGGCTGGAAAAGCATATTCCTGGCACAGGAAAGCATGTGTGAGTGTTGTTGGGGAGCGGGGAGGAACGCTCAGGGTTTTGGGAGAAAATACTGGCTATTCACCAATCTATTCAACATTTAACAAGTGTTTATTAAGTACTTACTATGCAGCAGGCATTGCTTTACATCCCACAGAGACATCAGTTAACAAAACAGGTGATGTCTTTATTTTCATGGAAGTTATGGGGGAGAAGAAAGAAAGAAAGAAAGAAAGAAAGGTGGTAGGTACGGGAACAGAGCTGCTTCAGGTAGGAGGATGGTCAGAGAAGTGTTTAGGTTGAAGTGACAGTCAAGCTGAGACCTCCGTGGTGAGAGGAGCCAGCCAGGTAAACACCTGCGGGAGGGGGAGTTTCAGGTGGAAGGAGCAGCACAGGCAAGGGCAGAACTGATCATGATCACGGCCTGCTGGAGAAACAAAGAGGACAGAGCAGTGTGCTGGGGTGGGAAAAGTGGTGCGAATAATTTAAAGGGTGTTTGGGTTGAGTCATTGGTGCTGAGAAAGGCATTTCTAATATAAACTAGTTATTTATTAACTTTTTAAACCCATACAGTGTGGTGTCACTTGTCAAAACTGGAAGTTTGGGGAAGATCTCAGTTGCTGATATCTCTTCTCTGAAGTGGGGCTTGGCTCTGTATGTTTTAATAACGGAGGTGAGGCGAAGAGAGTATTTTCCGTCATCATTGACTAGAACTACACATAAGGCACAGGTGCAGATTGCTGTCCTGTTCACAGTCATGAGCACATGCCAGCAACATAACACATCAGCAGGGTGCCCAGCTCAATAAGAGGGCTCATTATGTTAGTCAGGGGTGTCCCAGTGGTTTCTCTTGGGTCTAGCCGTGTACTTCTAATTACCCTCCTGAGCTTTCTTTTCCTGTTTCATTCCTGTGGACTCAAATTTGTGTTTCAGAAGTGCTTTGAGGGCTTCCCTGGTGGTGCAGTGGTTGAGAGTCCGCCTGCTGATGCAGGGGACGTGGGTT